GAAGTGTTGACTCAATTCCTATATAAACCTTTTGTTAGATCAGCAAAAATGTCCCCAACAATTTAACCAATGAGTCCCTTTTAGCTTTAATATTTTGAACTGAAGACATAACTAGCATTTGTTTCTATTTTATTCATTCCTAGGTAGTTATAGTTTGCTAAAATTTGTTATTGTACCTCATAATACCAAAAATAATTTCACATAAGAAAGTATTATATGAACAAAGGTTTTATAGTCATGTTATTAGCTCCTTAGATGTAGAATATTCTAACTCTTTTTTCTATTTTTTTAAGGAGGATAAAAAATAGTAAAAGAAATATTGGAAATGATATAGAATTTCACTAAACAAAATAAAAGATTTCAACAGTGCTTGTTATATTGCATAATGTTGCCTTCAAATTAGTTGTTCAGATGACCAGATATAGGCACCTAAAATTGGTTCAAAAATAGTTATAAGAAATTAAAAGGAAAAGAAAAAAATTAAACAATAACTGCTCCTTTTAATAGATCAGCAGAAATCAATGGAGTTATCCAAGCTATCCTGTATATATACATAAATATATCCTTTTCCCTTCTTTCTTTGTTTGTCCTTTTCCTCATCCCAATTGTTCCTTTCCTTTGAACAGGTAATTTCCCTTTCACAGTATCGATCATACCTTTTAGATTTATTTATTCTTTCAGGTTCTTACACTAGCAAGACAATATGATGTTTGCAAATAAGTCTGGCTTATTTCACTTATGTGTATGATCTCTAGTTGCATCTATTTATTTAAAAGCCTGGAGTTTATCTTTTTTATAACTGATTAATACTCCATTATGTAAAATTTTTTCATCCATTCCTCAATTCATGGGTATCTGTGTTGTTGCCAAGCTCTAGCTATGACAAATCATGCTACTATAAACATGGGTGCACATAGAACACTGTTGTGGTGTTTTAAGTTCTTTTGCAAAAATACCCATGAGGGGAATAGGTGGGTTGAATGGGACTCCAATCCTAGGTTTCTGAGGAATCTCCACACTGATTGCCATAGTGGTTGGCCCAGCCTGCAGTCCCATCAACAGTGAGAAGGATTTCACTTTCCCCACAGCCCCTCTAGCATTTGTTCTTGGTTCACTTCTTGATGATAGTCATTCTTTCTGCAGTGAGATGGAATCTCAGTGTTGTTTTAATCTGCATTTCTCAAATGACCAATGAACTTGAATTTTTTTTGAAATATTTATTTTCTATTTGTAGTCCTTTATCTGAGAAGTGTATATTCATCGCAGATGCCCATTTTTGTATTGGGTCTCTGAATTTGGGGGGTCTGATTATTTTTAATTTTTATAGAACATTCTAACTCTTTTGGCCCAATTAAAAACTGTCAATAAGCTAGCCTAAGAATATGACTTTAAGTTCAAAATCACCATGAATAAATTCTCTGAAGTCATTTAATCTGTACTGCACAGGTTTAGTTGTAATCATTAAATTATTGGAGAAGGAAATGGGTTTGTACATATATGTAAAATTTAACTTGTAAAATAGACTATGATGCTTAAGTTGCAAAATAGACTGCAATGGCAAAATAGGCCATAATGTCTACAATGGTAACTTAAAAAAAAAAAAAAAAAGAAGAAGAGAAGGAAAATCTCTGTTATGGTACAGTTTTCTAAAGAAATTACTTGTCAGGTGTGCAGGTGCATGCTTTTGGTCTCAGCACTCAGGAGGCTGATGCAGGAGGATTACTGCAATTTAGAGGACAGCCTGGCCTGCATAGTGAATTTACAGCAGCCTGGACTTAAAACTTTAGAGACAGAGAGAGAGAAAGAGAGGGAGAGACAGACAGAGAGAGAGACACAGACAGACAGACAGACAGACAGACAGACAGACACACAGACACACAGACACACAGACACACAGACACACAGACACACAGACAGACACAGAGAGACACAGACAGACACAGAGAGATACAGAGAGACACGGAGACAGAGAGAAGTTCATCAAGTATCTGTTGCTTGCCTATCACGGTGCAGGCACAGCCACATGCAGTTGGCACACTACAGCAAAGAAAAGTAAGCCCAGATCCTCAAAAACTTTGCATTTTATGTAGGCAGAAAATACACATGTTTTGTAGGAGGAAATTTGAAGTGTACACTCAAAGTAATAGAGTGTGGGTACTTGAGAGAAAGGCAAACTGTAGTTCAGAGTTGTGGATATTTATCTGGCTTGTTAAGGAAAATCTAAGAGGTGATGGGAACTATGTAGATGTGTGAAGCAATTTCACAAAACTGAAGCCTGAAATTCAGCCTCTTCTGGTTTATAAGGAAATGTCAGGGTCTAATGGGAGAAGAATATTTGCTGGGGTGAAATCTAGACCTTGAGTTTGAACATGTTAAGCGAGTGATCCCTATTAGACAGCCAAATGAAATAACAGGCAGAGAGTTGAAACAAAATGTTCAATATTGAGGTATGTGATAAATGTGTAAGTCTGGAAACAAAAATGTAGGTATGATCTTTAAATCCAAGGTAGTCAATAAGCTTGCATAAAGAGTAAGAATAAATATCCTATAAAAAATGCTTAAGACCTGAAGCCTGTGGCACACCAACATGTAGAGGTCAAGAATACAAACAAATGCAAAGACAGAATCAACAACTGCAAAGTACAACCAAACTATAACAGCACAACTTAGAGGAATTCAGGTGAACACAGTCCGATGTAGAGAGCAATACTTCATCAAATAGTTGTAATACATTATGATAAAACTAATAATTCATCATTGCATTTAAAGAATAGAGGAGTCACTGATAGTAGGGGAGGCAAGTAATGGAGAGAAGAAAGAACAGATGCCTAGTGACTACAGTTTTGGGTGTATATCAAAGGAAATGAAGGCTAGATATTGAAGAAGTATCTATATATTCACATTTATAGCACCATTGTTCACAATAGCCAAAAAGTGAATATAACCTTAGTATCCATCAGTGGACAAAGGAATAAGTACAATTTGATAAATGTATTTTTCCGTCCTAATAAGAAAGGAAATCGTAACCTGCTCTGAAATAACTGAACTTTTCAGATAATTTTCTAAGCTCAGTTTCGAAAGAAAAAATACTACATGATACCAGTTATATGAGGTAGGTAGTATAGACAAGTTCCAGAGATTAAAAAATAAGATGCTGTTTGCCAGGGCCTAGAGTAGGAATGATGATGAGTTTTGTTTGGCAGGAAAAATGCTTCAGTTTTGCAAGGTGGAAAGTAGTCTGTGGATAGATGGCAGCGATGGTAGCAAAACAATGAGAATAGGTTTCCCACTGCTAACCACTTACAGCGGCAGCGTTTACGTGATGCATTCCACAATTTTTAAAAATGTTCAAGAAATTGATACCCATGTAAAGCTACAGAGATGACGAAACATTATTATCTGAGCTTTTGTTTTCATTTTGTCTAGATTTTAAGAAAGAATAAAATGTACATAATTTGAAAAAAAAAAAAGACTTGCCTATCAATATCTATAGCAGCCTTACAGAAATAACAAAAAAATAAAAATACCTTCAGGAGAGATGACCAGATTTATAGTAAAATCCTTCAACAAGGATGAGAGGATTACATGCAGTATGTAAGCAGATATAGCGACCTTATCCAGCAGCACTTGCGTGTCTCCCACAGACACAAATGAAAAAAAAGAAAAAAGAAAAAAAAAGCCTGTGTCTATGAAAGCAGATTAGGTTGGGAGATGTGTTTAAGAACATAAAGATTTCCCAAATAGCTCAGTGGATCAAAGCGCCTGCAAGCAGGCACAGGGGCGCGCTGAGAGGGCAGTTGAGATCGGGCGTGGTGGCGCACACCTATGATCCCAGCTCTTGGGAGGCTGGAAACAGGCGGATCGCTATGAGTCCAATCTAGTGGTGAGACCCTGAATACCCTGTAGACCCTTCCCTAAAATACGGGAAAAAAACCCCATAGATTTCTACTGCAGTTATTTACTGGAGTATACGTACTAATAGAGCAGCTTTGTTCTCACACTGTCCACAAACCTTCCCTTTTATCTTGGGTTTCTCATTTCTAGAACAATTTGCCATTTTGTGATTAATGGGTTGTTTCACTGGCTCTGGAATAAAAAAGAAAACATCAGATCATTTTAGTATTTTAAAGTTAATTTGCAAAATGCTGTTTAGTTTTCCGGTTAGTAACATAATGAAACTATACATTTCTAAATCCTCACACAGTAGTTAAATCTTAGTTGTCCATTAAAACATGGCACACAGTCAAATCTAATTGATGAGCTGATAGCAGAGCTCAAAGCAGACTCTGGCAGCTCTTGTGACCAGCAGGCCACACTTGGCCACCTATGTCCACTCTGCCTCAAACTCACTTGAACTGAAAAAATAAAATCAAACAGTAAGAACCTCATGCTACTGGTAGAATGCCTGTGGCATTTGCCATTTCTGCCTCCAAATAATATCTACACAGGACAAGTTCTAAACATATGAAAGAGATATATCTTTAAAAAATTGCTCTACCCAGTTATGGTAACTATTCAGACTTAAATTCATTTGCTCCCCCCAAGAAACACATCTTTATTCTTTTAGAGGGATTATAGTTCAACATTTAACTTTGCATTTTCCTATTTTTAAATAGGAAATAATTTATTAAAATACATAAAAATATATAAAATATATTTTAATAATTTATTAAAATATAAAGCAATATGATTTCATTTTCAGGGGGCTTTTCAGTATACTTTTACCTTCCTGGAGTGGCATTTCACAGTTTATAATTTTATACTGATAAATTCTCTTTGTGGTTAGATTAATCAATACATTTTTTAAAACCCCAGTGTGATGAAAGTCCTTACTTTTGAAGTGTTACTATTATACTCAGAGTTTAAGCTGACATTTTTGACATAAAAGGAAGCCGCAAGGAAAATTTGATTAAAATATATGTGAAAACCAAAATGTCATCATTTGGGGTTTATAGTTACGCTAGCTTTTCATCACTGTGAGCAAACATCTGATAAAAATAACTTCCAGGAAGGGAGGTTTGCTTCCACTCCCATTCTCTGAGGTGTCAGCCACATCACCTGGCGCTGTTGCCCATGGAAGCAAAGCTGGGCGCAGAGCAGGAGGTGCAGCTTAGGGCAGGCTGGACGGAAAGGCAGGAGGCACCAGAGGAGGGCGGCAGGAGCGCTGTTCCCAGTTACGCTCCCTTCCTCTTGGGTTTCCTTCACTTCCAATTGTGCCACCAGATTAGGAAATTAGAGCCCTCATGAATCACAAATCCTTCCCCAATCCCAGGCAGCAACTAAGCCTTTGACCCAATAAGCCTTCAGGGAACATTGGGATCTCTACATAGACAAGAATCTTTCTGTGGTTTGAGCCATTCTAGCACTGTGTGTTCAGCATCTAATAACACTGGTAAATTGTTTACCTTGAAATTGCTGCTTCAGTGATTTTAATTTCACTTTTCCAGGAGAAACCTGTATTAAACAGATAATCATTTATTACACATATATTCTCTCATCCAAAGGAAGTTTAATTAAGTTAATAACAAAAATATTGAAAAGCTGTGCTGTTTTGGTACACCATCATGACATGATGCTAGCGTTCAAATCCTGTAATGACTCAATATATCTTCTGGTTTTGCTCTTTTCGAAGCATATGAAATCTTAAGATTTAGACTGAATCTAAATAATTCTGACTGAGCTGACACCATGCACATAACTGCAAAAGCTAATGTCATTATCTTGTTTGCCCAGTTTGAGAAGGGAATGATTAAGCATCATGGTCTTAATCTTCAAATATATTATTTATGATCTATGACTTTCCAAAGTTGTGACCAAAACAAATTGAGTAAATAAGATTTACTACTGGATATTTCAAATAAATAATCTCTTAAAATCCTTGGATCAAAGAAGAAAAGCAAATCTGCTCATTGAAAGTCTTTGCCTTCGTCTTATTAAAAATAACATTTAAAGTACACAACAAGCAGGGAGCATATTGTTCAGTTATATAGACGTTGTCAATTCATTCCCAGCATGCAATCTGCAATTTGTGTGCTCAACTGCCCAATTTGCACATGAGGATCTGAGAACAATGGCTGCCTCTGTCTCTATGGCTGTACCAAATGCAGTCATCTTTGAAAATTTAAGCCTAATTATTCTTCATGGCTTTGCTTCAAAGATGCTCTTATTGTTCGTATTCTTTGAAGTAGTTGCTCAGATGTTTTCTGTATCAAACACAGCAGAGAAGAAAACAGGATCGAAATAATAAATTTTATCAGTGTCAAACTTTTATTTTTAAGTTGGTAATGTTATACAAGCTAACAGATAATTTAATTTCATTTTTCATTGCAAAATTATCCAATATGATTACCTTAATGATACATCTGAATTGCAATGTGGTCAGTATGGTTACAGGTTACTTGGCTAGAGTAGATCAATATTCCAGAGCAAAATGCCATGTTTATTAAAACATTTTATGATTTCTTCTTATTATGGGTAACATTTTTCTGTTTTATGATGTAGTAATATTTCAAATCATTCAAACTTCATAAAAATATTTCAATAAGAAACTACTAGCTGCTATTTTAGGCAAATGGGATTTTCCACTAAGTCTGGTATTTGTCTGTTCAGGTAAAATCTAGTGGGCGAGTAGGTTAGATCAAGGGTATATATGTGCACACACAAATATATATATATATATATAATATCAGGACTTTTGTATGCTACAGTCTATGTCTCATGTCTTATTACCTCAGTTATGCTTCTCCCAATAAGTGCTGATGGAATCCTTTTATGAACCGGGTCAATTTAATTGAATCAACCAGGCAGACAGATCATCTTAGTTGCTGGCGTCAACCCATGCCATTGGAATAAGTCTCCCTCCCATGTACAATGCCTCCAAACTCTCATGGAAGCTTTAGTCTACCCCACTGGGCTCCAATCCTCCCACCTACTACCTTTTCAGACAGTCTTACTTGCCACACTATTATTACTAAGCCTCTGTAATTACCTACCAATTATCTCTCCATCCAGACTCCTCTGCTATTCCGTGGCACATCCATTAAATAGTCATTAAACTATCTCGTGCATTAAATCTGCACTAAAATATTCTCACCACATGTTCACATTAACTGAAACTCACCTTCCCTTAGATGTGTCTATGTCCCAACCACTTTCCAAAGAAAGTAGTTCCTTTTTCACTCTTTCCCTCCCCAAGAAAAGAGGAAACAGTTCTTCCCACCTGCGCTTTCATGCTGCTTCCAGAATGCTGTCCCACCATCATCCTACAGCAAAGCTCCCTACTAAGTGCACCTACTACCTACTTCTTTCCTTTCTAATATTTGGTTCCTCTTCACCCGGCATCCCATCAATCTGCTCAATATTTGCAATTTTCTTTTTTCTTTTTTTTTTTTTCTGCTGATAATCCTGAACACTTCAACGGCCATTTTTACCTTCTATCCTTGTACTAAAGCTCCTGCAATACCATGCCACCCCATCATTATGACCAAACTTTGTATCTAAGCAGCTTTCTGAATGACACCTTCACAATCCCAAACCCAAGAGTTTCCCAGTGCTAACTTTAATCACCTTATCTCTGCCTTCTTAGGCCTCTCATATCTACCTATTATTGTGATGAAATAATAAAATATTTTCTAAAGCTCCATTCTGAATAACCCTAGCAGGCCTTCCTGGATTTTCATTAATTCATTTTTTCAGGTGCTGGTAAGCTCCACTCCTATTTCACAGGGGGGCTACTCCAAACCTGCTCCATTCCCAGGAACTTATTATCGCCCCATTTTTCTCCTTCAGCTGAGCAGATGACATGGCTTCAATGTTACTAGAAATATTGATAACATTCCAGGTACCATTTTCTTCAATATCATATGTCACCACTTGTCAAATACAACCTCTAAAATTTGCTTGTGTTGGGCCAGGGAGATGACTCAGTAGAATAAGCGTTTGTCTGGCAAGTGCAAGGGCCTGAGTTCAAGCCCCAATTCAAAAAAAAAAAAAAAAATTGGGGCCAGGAGATAGCTCAGTAGAATAAGTGCATGCCTGGCAAGTGTAGGGTCCTGAGTTCAATCCCAGGTACTGAAAAAAAAAAAAAAACCTTTAAATTTACTTGTGTTTCCACATGTTTTTCCCTCTATCCTACTTGTGTCAGAGAAAATGTGTTTCTTCCTGGAAAAGACTTCTTTAGTGAATGACCCTTAAAAGACCACCCTTAATAATAGCCACGCCACTCACGTGTACTCTCTCCAGTGCTTGCTTTTCCATGCCTTAGACTATAAACTAGGTCACATCAGTTCTAAACTACAATATAATAAGGTCTTTCCTTGAGCCTGTCAGCACTTAACATGGCATCCTCTGCAAAAATTGGCATTCACTGCAAAAATTGTTCTCATATATTCCCTGACATTCCTTCCTCTTAAACTACTTGAAATCTATTTTCACTTCTAATAATGGCCCCTCATTAACTCAGATTTTTTTTAATTCTCACTTTCCTGAAACATTTTAATGTAATTTTCAGGTAATCTTACAAAGTACTTTCATATATTTCATATCACACATTTCTCAAAACTTCATGAAGTAATTAGAAATGGAATAAATTTACAATATTGGTAACAGGATTCAGAAATGTTGCATGTCCTGCCTAATATTACAAGGTCAATTATTTGAGTTGGAATTTAAAATATGGGGTCTAAAACAAGGCTTTGCAATCTCAACACAACAAATATCTTGGGCTAAATAATTCTTTTTGGGTTTTCAGTGCAAGATGGGACACTGACCAACACTGCCAGCCTGTATTCACTACATATCTTTAGCAAACAAACAAACACTCTTGGCAGTAACAATTGAAAGTGTCTTCAACCATTGCCCGCTATTCCCAGGAACACAAATACCCCTTGAGAAACAGTCAACTAAATCAATACTGAGCAGGTTTTCACAACAGGATCTATTAGACAAAATTGATATCTCCAGGTTTTCTCAAAATGTCCCGTTTCATTTCCATCTTTTTTTTAATGTATTTAATAAAGGCTCTACAGGGTCTCACTACACAGATCGGACTCATAGTGATCCTTCCTGTTCTTCCGCCTCCCAAGCGCTGGGATTACAGGCGCGCACCACCACGCCCGGTCTCATTCACGGGCTCAGCAAGCCCCGGGGCGGGGCTGGCATGACATGCCAGGGATTGAATCCTGGTGCCTGCATCTGCCCAAGCAGTTGCTGTAATACCCTGAACTATCTGGCCAGCCACCTTTATGAAATCATACTACTTTGATTCTGCTCTACCATTCTTTTTCTACTCGGGCTGGCCTCTCTAGAAAGTTGGCAAATCATGTTAGACAAAGCTTAAGAACTTGTATTACAAACTTTGGCCCTTGGCCCTGACAAGACATTGAGTTACTTAATCTGTACAACTAGAACAATAAACTGTCTCCTAGGGTGATGTAAGCACTTATGAAGTAAAAATGAAATAAAGTTAAACTGACTAACCCTATAGAATTCTATTTTCAACTATGCTTGCCTCATACTTAATTAATTTCCATATTTTGTTTTGTAATGTATATGATGTTAATGCTTTTTCTTCATTTTTGTGGTACCAGGGAATAAACCAGGGGACCTTGTACTTGCCAGTCAGGTGTTTATGCCACTGAGCTATCTCCCAGCCTTGTGATTTTTGCATACATAGATAAATAGAAAACACAAGGACAGGAATCCCATACTCAGAATATGGTCTTTTCTGACTCGTACATGATCAAAACACTTTGGAAACTGCTTGCAGTATAGACTATTCACTCCAGACATGCTAGATATTTGTACAAGGCTAACCTTTGCAAATCACCACCTTAGTCTTCTATCTTCCTGCTCAAAACCTGACAGGAAACAGAAAATTCCATCCAGCAAGGAAAATGCAATCCTACAAGGCCTCCTGCCTCCGCGCAGTCTCATCTTATGGATCCACCTTCTGCAGCAACTCTCCTCCACACTTCCCCTCTCCTCAATTAAAATATTTATGTGGATAAGAAATGTATTCATTCATCATTTGGCTTTGCAAATACACCAAGTACAATCTTCAGTGTTGTATTTGTAGAACTAAGCTACTATTTTAAATGCATATTGCTCATACGCTAAGTGATTATAACAAAAATAAATATTTACTTTACTATATTATTGATGCACAAAGACCTCCTTGAAAATGAATAGAACTCACTATAAGACCAAAACATGTTTCAATAAAGACTATTAAATCAGCCAACAATTACAAAGTCAGTCATTATAGTCAGTATTTTCAGTGTATTATACTTGCAATGATATTTAAGCATGATCATAGAAAGATAACAAAAAATGAAAAGCAGATTATAAATGTTTTGGCCCCTACATTAAATAAACCTACCTTACTACAGGAATGACACTATAGATTAGAGACGTGTTTTCAAAGTCAGGCTTGCCCATTGACACCACGAAAGTTTCATGACAGTTATGTAAAAAACAAAGAGCTGTGTAAGCTGAGACTTACAAAGTCATGAATTTTGCACAAGTGGATCCAGAAACAAAAGTTTTCTTTATATAAAAGCACTTTTCTGGTTTTAATCTTAAAATACAGTGCGATGTTGTATTTTTACAATGCTGAGTAAAGAAAGTAAATCTATAGCTGGGAAAATGAAACAGTTTTTTGTTGTTTTGTTTTGTTTTTAAATATCTTCCCACTTGAAATCAACATTGTAAGAATAATTATTATTGAAATATAAAACATTAAGCCAATTTCAAGTTATAAGAAAATCTAAACTACATCATTTGTTATATAAAATACTAGCTTTTATTATAATATAGAACTACGTGGTTTTATTTCTCATATTTTCAAACAGAACTGAACAAAATGAAACAAATCTATTTTTCATTTGAAGGAATTCAGGATAGTAAAATCACCATAAAGTAAATTTTTGAAAATCAAATTGTCAATGAAAACAAAAATATGTATAAATACTGAAAGTTACATGTTAACTTACAAAAATAATAAATATATTCTGCAAAATCAAAAATAGTGCCTTAATATGGAAGGTAATACAAAACTTGAAAAAATAGTTAAGTTATATCTTCTTACTTAGCAAATTGACTGAGGATTCATTGTCATCTTCTTACCTTAATGGCAGTGGCCTTATTTTGTGAAATCAGATGTGACTGATGACCCAATTTGGTCACTTTTCCAGATTTCCAGTGATATCCACTTGACCTTTTATATATATGATTAGGACAAAATGTCATTACTAAAAGATTATTTATTTAAAGCAAACAAGTATATTCTCTCAGTTTCAGGAAATAGAAACTCAGATATTCATATATAAAAGACAGCACCAAATGAAAATGAAGTATTGATACTGCCCCACTATCTTCAGTATTTTCAAAATATCTTTCATATTTGTGACTTCTGTGAAAAAAATCTAAAGTGAAATATCCAAACTCAGCTAACAGATTCCAATTTCTGGTATACACAACGACTGAAGGTAGTTTTACTTTGTATATAAAATTGTAGATTATCATGTAATTTTAAAAGCTGAGCACTTACAAATGTAAACAGAAAAAGGAAACAAAATCATACCCACAAAGACTCATCACATCTACTCAGTGATGAAATTCCTGGTAGTATTTCAAATGAGACCACATTGAAAGGTGAGTTTTCAAAGAAAGCAAATTTTAAATGGCAGGCACAATAGGTCAACAGACTAAGTGTCTGCTTAGGCAAGCACAAGGACCGGAGTTTGATTCCCAGTCCTGCATGCTGCACAAGCCCTGTCCCTGGGCACACTGAGCTGGCCACTGAGTCCAAGCATGGTGGCACATACCTGTAATCCCAGCACTGGGGAGGCTGAAAACATGAGGATCACTAAGAGTCTGAGCTGCATAGTGAGACCCTGCACCAAATACACATACATTTTTTAAAAGAATTTTTTTTTGCACCCACAATATATGATTGCTAATGGAATACTCATCTCTGACAAAAGTAAACAAAAAGGGGATATAAATGAAGGACCATTTTATAGTGAAATATATATATATATACACACACACATATATCTGTATATACAAAATAGTTAGCATAGATATAAAGCTGATTTCTTTAAGTTCAGTGAGAAGAAAGTTCTGAACTAATAGTGTTTAGACAAGATATCATGTCTGCATCTTGTACTATGAATAACTACTACGAAGACAACAAAATGAAATGTGTTAAATATTGTAGCTGTTCTATTAACCTGTTTGGAAGCTCTCTCATTGCTATTTCTTTCTCAATAAAGTTAATTTTTAAAAAAGCAAATTTTAGTATCACAGACTTTAAAGCACTTTTGAAAGTACTCAGTTTTTAAACATTGTTTGGCGTTACAAGGACAGGAAGTCCGATTCCTTTTTAAAATAACAAGGCAACAATTTATTCACTATTACACATGTAATAAAGGCTAAAGCTGTAACAGTAAACTTCTGTCTTCCTGACTAGTGAATGGTAGGTTCTCATTCTGGTTATGGCATATATTACTCATGAAATTCAGAAAAGATTCAAGCATTCTGAAAACTCAGGCAACATTTAGAATGTTTTTATAAAAATTCTAGAAAAGGTTTTATAGTCAAAGAAAATTTGCTCTTGAAAGTGATTCAAGAAACTCTGATTCCCAGAAAAGTATCAAGGATCATTTAAAAAGTCCAAACAGGGGCCAGGGATATGGCTCAGTGGCTCAAACCCCTGCCTGGCAAGCACCAGGTCCTGAGTTCAATCACTGGTACTGAAAAGAAAAACAAGTCCAAGCAAAGTAAAAACTCAATGAATAGAAAAAATTGGCTAAAGGATTATTACAAGAAAAGCAGCTGGACACAAAATAAATGTCATTGATATGACATAATTGTGGTACCTCTTTATTATAATTACATTCTTCTTATTGCAGCCTATATAAATAAGTCATGCAGAGTTTTTAATGAATTGAACTCCATGGATAAAAGCTACTGAGACTGTAATAAATACACAATATTTGAATATTCTTAAATGGTTCAGAAAGTACTTCATTGATATTTGGTAATCATCACTCTAAGAACCAAACAATGTAAACAACATGCGAAAGATCTTGGACAGGTCAGGGAGGTAGCTCAGCTGCATAAGTGCCTGCCTGGCAAGCATAACATCCCCTGTACTAAAAAAAAATATTACAAATTAAAGAAAAACAGTTTATAGGGCCTGAAAGATTGCTCAGAGGCATAAGCACCTGCCTAAGCAAGCACGAGGACCCGGGTTTGATCCCTGGTACCGCACGCTCGGCTGGTCCTGCCCCAGGCACACTGAACCAGCCACCAAGATTGGGCATGGTGGCACATGCCTGTAATCCCAGCACTGGGAAGGCTGAGTCAGGAGGATCACTAGAAGTCTGAGTTTCAAGGTAAGACCTTGTATCAAATACATTATAAAAAAAAACTAGAATAAAATAAAGGACTTGGTATTATTCAGTATCAACATGCATGAAAACATGCACTATCTTGATCTGTGGAGGAAGGTTATTTGGAAGATGACTTTTCATTGTCTATCACAATACAAAATACTCACACACCTGGGTCTAAAACTAGAGATGAGGAACTTATTCTTTTGCCTGTATGGAAAACTGCATGTTACAGTAAGTCCATAGTAGCATTAGTGATCACAAAATACTGAAAAATTAATAGGAACAGAAAACTAAATGCTATTACAGTCAAGAAAATGAGATAGATCACTGTTTACTGAGGGACAGAAAGAGAGAGAGAGAGAAAGACAGAGAGAGAGGATGTGTGTGTGTGTGTGTGTGTGTGTGTGTTGTGTATGTGACACTTGTACAGAGATAAGCCATTTGTGAAAAATACTGTAATCATTAAAACAGGAGCTGGAAAATGATCTGAGAGTAAAATAATTTGTGTCCTATAATCATCAATTCTGTTTATTTTTTATAATAAAATCATAGTCTCAAATAAATTAGTGCAGATATACAAGTATAGTACTAGGGATTTCTCATAAGTAATAGTTTAGCTAACTCAAACTTGCTGGAAGCGTTCCAAATTTATCTTTTGTTTTAAATGGCTCTGATGAGGACAGCTGCACGTCTGTCCCAGAAAGAGTTTTAATAAATAAAATAACCGTAAACATGAACTTCTTTTTTCTATTCATGTTGTTCTCTGTGTCCTTTCTTTTTATTAATTCATTGGTTGGTACATTTCAGGGATACACAATGATCATATGAGCTTCTTTTTATGTGCTATTGATATCAGTCATCTGTGAGCAAAAGAAAAAAAAAAATCCATTCCTGTCCTCAACCTGCCAGACCATAAATCACAGAGAAGCACAAGGTAAGAGGAGAAACACGAAATGATGAGATAAAAAATGTAGAAGAAACAAAAACAAGGATATCTTTGAAAAGCAAAGTGCCTAATATAAATGGTAGGAAGTAAAAAATATTAGAGGGAGTTTCCTGTTCCTTGTTCATAACCCAAAATAGAAAGTTATCTACATGTCAAGCAGTCATTGGAGTAATAAAAGGTGAAATAGTTCTTTCTAGAGTTTAGTTTACTCCTCAGAAGTTCTCTAAAAAATTTACTCACTTTATTTCCTTCTTTTCTCCATCCTTTGCTCCCTGGAATTCTTGTAATTTCTTTTCCATCTCTTGGTTCTCCAGTTCTAATTGTATTTTCTCCATTCGTAATTCTTGGACATTTCTGAATATGTGAGATTTAAATGTAGAATGTTTACTTGAAGTAAACAAACAAAGCCTAAGACAAAACAGCTTACTTAATCTTTTCTTCTTAAATTAAAATTAGCATTAATAACTAAATAACAAACTATTTCACTACTCCTTTACATTTCTTAAGATATGGTTATAAATTTAGCATTTGCATTCTGTTACTATTCTCTTTAATCTAGGTAGCCTTTCAAATCTTTTTTTTTTCCTATTTTTCTTATTCAGTTACTATGGTATTAAAACCAGAATTCCCTTTATGTGTGAGCTGTATCTTTATATGTGCAAATATCTATTACACCCACAGATAAAATTATTTTCTAATTTGTGCTGTCTTACATTGACTCTTTCAGACAGAAGCTAATATAAATTTTTAGCTTGTATTAACTATCATGAGTTTAAATATTGCTCTCTATTATTGCCTTAGTGTTTTATTGTAATCACACAGCATGGACACCCATAAACACTACCAAACTAAGCATCTCTAATCTAGGAAGTTAAAAGAGGATGATCACAAGTTACAGTGCAGCCCATCCCAATACAAAAAAATTT